AATAATTTTCGTTTTAACATATTAGATACTTATTAACAAATTATTACATATGATTCTCGTTTTTTCTAATTACAATATTTTTAATGAATGTTTCATAAAAGTATATTTCTTTATATATATATTTTTTTTGAAATATTGATTTATATAAATTGATCGCCTAGAAGATTTTTACATTAAATTATATAGAAATGTAAAGATAAATAGAATGATAAAGGATTTTGAAAATGTAATAATGACAATTAATATATTAACTTTATCCACTTGATAATTCCTCATGTACTAAAATAGTTAATATGAATTTTCAAAATTTTTTTATTATGAATTAATATGTATATATGAATATGTGTATACAATTGTATTCTTAACATTTTAACATAATTATATTTTTAAATAATTACTTTAAAATTTAAATATAAATATTCAGCTGTGATTTATTTATATTGTTTTTCTTCTAAAATGTATATCAAACTTTAGCAACAAACTTCATAAATCATGTAAACAAATTTAAATATATCTAAATGTCATTCGAAAAAAAAAATATTATAATTATAATTCGAGGATTAATTAATGATACGAATTTTCAAGACTAAATCGAATTAAATTAAAATTTGTCGTAATAGTCGTTTGGCTTTACGGTAGCTGAATACAAATAAGTTTAGTAATAAATTTTATCCTTGCAGAAAAAGAAAAGGTACGAGAATTTACTTAAAAGTAAGCTAACAAAAATTCAATCAAATAAGTTTTTCTTACTTCTATAACGTATACTTGATATTCTAAATATATTTTGAACGCATTTGTAACTTATAGAATATATTATTTAATCTAGTATAATATTGGTTTTAGTAAATATATATAATTGTATGAAACATATACAATTTCAATTTATCCGAGTAAGTATTTAAAAAAAAATTATTTAATTTTTATAATCAAGTAGTATAGCAGAAACAATTCTAATAAAACTAAAAATGAAATAATCTCACTAATTTTCTTATTAAAATACAATTTATCTCTTTTATTACGCAAACAATTATGGAAAGGATACTTGCGTTAAAATAAAAAAAAAATTTTCTATATATATATATATATATATATATATATATATATATGTATTTTGCAATAATGATATAAGAATTGTCTTAAAAAATACTCCCTTATGAAATATTAAAATATTTATTGAATATAAAATTTTTAAGAAAATAATATACTTAAATTGTTTTTGAATAAATAAAAATTTCACTGATAAAATAATTTTTGTAAAACAAACTTTTTGATGAATAGTATATGTTAATTAAATAATACATTTATTAATTTATCACTGGATAAATTAGAGTATACATATTTTCTTATTAAAAATGTATTTAGATAAATTATTTTTTAAAATGCAGAAATTCATTTTATAAATTTATAATTTCAATTCCGTGATGTAACGTGATGACGCGATGGCTTGATCACTTGGTCGATGGGATGAAGTATCATAATTTAGATGATGAGACCAAACAATCTACCAATATAGACAAAGTAGAATTATAGAATCTTATATATTATATTCATGTATACATAAAAGGTATACAATGGCAGGTTCTAGTAACTACTTTATGCATTATCTATAGTCGTATCGAATTGTTGGCTTCTAAAAACTTTTATTTTCAAGCAAAATTAAATATTTATAATAACATGTAATGGATAAGCAAATAAGTATTATTTAAATAATATTTAAACTTTACCATTTTTTATTAATAAATTTTGATTCTTTGTTATATATGAGCAATATAACTTTAAGCGAATTTAATTGAAATTCAAGCAATATATAGATTTCTTTTGTCTAATTTATATTTTTGCAGAAATTAGAAAAATAATTTTTTAGATTAACAATATTCAATTAATACGTATAGAAAACTATTGATCGAGTGGGCCTTTAATAATGTCGTATATGAAAACTAATTAACTAATTAACTAATAAACTGAGAGATGATTTAAGAATTTTCGTTATTCGTATTCTCAAAAAAGAAAAAATGAGACTAAGGAGGGGTGAAACCTGAGAGTTGGACTGTGCATGGGTGATAGACACTTTCGTAATATCTCATTAATTTTCACTCAATCAATTTTTCAATTATGATATTAAAAAATTAACCTTGGACAATTTTAATCATATTTTAGTTATATAACACAAATGGCTTAAACAATCATTTGTTTCTAACAATTCTAATAAAAATTTTTAATTATTTATAAAACGTACAAATAAAATAATGATGTACTAATTTTAATTATAATTAAACATCAATAATATGTTTCATACATTTATACAAAATTTTCTTTTATAATGCAAATGAACCAAATTTTACAATAATATTAATTTTGTTGACATATATTTAAATGTTTATTATTTTTAATATAGTTTTTTGTTTCAATGTTGCTGCTCATTTTTTAGTCAAACTGTTTAAAAAAAAAAAAAAAAAAAAAAAAAAAAAAAAAAAAAGATGGACGTGGGGTGGGGAGGAGGAGAGCAATAATATCGAATGACAATGATGATTAATTCGCACAGCATGTATAAGCATCAATCAATAGTTTTGTACTCGAAACCTTATATAACGTTGTAGACAAAAATTTGCTTGTGTTAATATAATTTTCCTACATTTTAAGTAGATTATTAGATAAAAAAAATATATATATAGACTTGTAAGCTATTATTAAAAGACATGGTAATTTAATGAAAAAATATTCAAAAAGAAACTTTCAGAATGTAAGAATAGTCTTTGATCAAATATTGGACGTTATAGTTTTTAAAACGAATGGTTGCATTTTGCATAATAATCATAGAAATGGAACCAATAAAACATTGTGTCTGCAAAATATTTTATAAAGCATATAATCATAATATGATATGATCGTCGATATATAAAAATTAACGAATGAATATTTGGTAAGACACTGCGAAAGTTACAATAAGATACATTTATAAGTTCGTTGGAATGAAGAAAAAAGGAGTTTTTTTTTTTTTAACGTTAAATTAAATATAAAGTATATATAGATAGTTTCGTACGTACTTGGATGTAACCGTTCGATGATTATTTGCAATCATAAAATAATTTAACAATCAATTGCGATGCAATATCGTTGAAATTAAAAACTTGAAATTAATAAAAATATTTCCAAAGGATTCGTATGAAATGAAAGGAAGGCATAAATGATAACGTGTAATCGTTATTTCGTGATATATTCCATTTTTTAAAGCGAATGGGCTCGAAGAAGTTAAATGAAGCTAGAAAAATTTAATAGACAAAAGGTAATTTAAAAAATGTCGCCTATGATGAAAATGAAAAATGAAATGGAAAAATTTACGAAATTAAAAGAAAATAGATAGTGTTTTTATAAGTTTTGTAGGTGCGTAGCGGTAAAAGCGTGTATAAATCGATGAGTATAGAGGATGAGTTAGAGGCAAGTGAGCATATAAGTTGAATAGAAGGGAAAAGAAAGTCCAAGTCGTATGGTATAAAATGCGAGCGCAAGAGAAAAGACGGGAGCAGTAGGCAAGTGCAAGAAGAAAAATGACAAGTTGAATATTTACGTATAGCAGGAGATACGGCAGCAAAAGCGGGTAGCGGTTCCAGGGGTCTGAGACGAAGTTATGCAGAAAGGCTTTGAAATAGCCGTCGCTGTGGGAAAAGGTAAGCTGCAGCGAAAGCCAACAGGAGCGAAAGGGAGGGCATCATAAAGGGAGAAAAGCGACAGAAATGGAGTCAAGCAGTGCGCCGTGGGAGGAGAAAAAAGGAAGGCGCTGGAGGCTGAAGTCGAAGCGAAGGGGAGAACGAGTGGTGGCAGCAGTCAAGATTCCACAGCCATTGTGGATTCTAGTTAGACATTCCAGTCGCCAACGTTGCCGCTCGTTCGCCCGATGAATTTTCGGATCGCCAGGAACTTTCTGCTCCCCTACTTACCATTCCTTTATTCCCTTTCGGCGTCTCTAACCTTCCCTTACTTTTATGCTCGCTTCCGCCCACCTCCATCGAAATCTCTCTTTTCATAAACAATGAGACTTTTCGCAGAAGTCCCGATACCGTTCTAGTAATTCTCGTTTAAGTAACCATCGTTCGTAAAGCTTTATATGATTTTACATGGCTTTTTCGCGCATCGATGCTATAATTACCGCATTTGGCATTTGAGACTAAATTAATGCGAATCGAGAAATAATTTGTATGCGTATGTTGAGCATTCATTGTTGGGCAAAAACTCGATCGACGACTCGCGGCAAAATACGATAATGAATAAATAATGTGCGGAGAAAAGGAGCGCAGCGGTACTCCGTGGAGACACGGGAGAGTTATTAAAATGAGTAAAGAAGACGAAAGAAAGCGGTTCGGTATATTTCAGATATGAGTTCGAAGCTCTCGGCAT